TCTCCTCTCCTCTCCTCTCCTCCCCTCTCCTCTCCTCTCCTCTCCTCCCCTCTCCACTCCCCCCCCTCCCCTCCCCTCCCCTTCTTTCGTCCCCTTTCACGTGGAAGTGGCCTCGCACGCCGGATTCGGAAGATGCTGAGCGTGGCACCTCCTTGTGTCAGGAGAGCGCCCGCCGAGGAAGGCTCACCCTTTGCTTTTAATTGCAGAAAGCTCCAGGGTGGCGCTGCCTCCTCCCCGTTGCGGTGGGGGGCACGCTGGCTTTTTTGCAGCAACGCTGGCCTGCTTCGGGCCCGGCGGGCTGGCTGCTTCCTGTTCATCAAGGCAGCTCCGCTGGGTCTGTCACCTGCTCCAGGCAGCTGCAGCTCCAGCGGCCGGCTGCGCTGTGCTGCCAAGGGGCGGGCGTCTTCTTGCGAGGCCCGTGGCTGCCTCCCCTCCCGCCTCCTGCCCTCTTTCCTTGCCGGGAACAGTTGCCCTGGGGCGCCGCGACCTTAGCAGGTGTTTCAGAGAGCGAGCCCGGCGTCACACGTCCTCAAGCTGCCGCAGCAACAACTAGGGTCCTTGTGCCAGGCTCCTCCTGGCTTGTGGGAGGGCACCAGCGACCCCCTCCGCCACCCCCCGCCAGCTGCTTTGATATCTGTTCTCTGTGCCAAGATGGCCAGGTGCCAGCCTGGTGTGGCAAGCAGAGATCCAGCAGCCAGGCTACCTCTGTTTTGTCCTTGGCGTGTGGCCATTTTCAACCCCAAAGCCTCCATTGTGAAATCTTTCCTCTCTCCAGCAACAGGGCTGGATGATGTCCCCAAACTTTTAGGATCCTTCGGTCCTAGCCATAGATTTGTGGGTATGGGAGGAAATGGGGTGCTGGGGTGCTCCCCCCGGTTCTCTGCAGGAGAGAGTGGCCCTCATGGGCTCGGTTTGCAAGAGGCTTGGCAGGTCTGACCCGGGGAGCGAGGGCAGCCCGCTCTGGAATTCAGCGCACGTTAATCCACGCCTACGACTGATGTTTGTAGGGCATCAGGAGATCCAGGGTAGTGCCCCATGCTGGCATTGCATTAAAGGGGTGGTGAAGAACTCTTGCGCTTGCTGCTGCTTGGCGAGCGGAGGGTGACCAGGAGCCCTGGGATCCCCATGGAAATGGTGCGCTTAGCTGGCTCCTTCCATCCGCCGCTTCCAGTGTCCTGTAGGAAAGGGGAGAAGTAGGGCAGCTGAAGTCCGGTGCAGCTGGAGGGTGCTTGGCTGAGGAAGAACATCCCCTTTCTCTACCACCTTCGGTGTTTATGTCTTTAAAACAAATAGAGTTTGCTTCCAAAGATGGGAGCTTTGTTGCATTAAAAGGAGCTGGCCTCTGCCCACCGCCATTCACTCATCGTATCCCCCCCCCCGGGAAACCTCCCTATCTCACAGCAGCTGGGAGAAACCTCTGGGTGATCTGGGCTCTGCTTCGGACCTTGAAGTTTGGGGTTTGTGCTTGTGTGAAGAAGAGGGAAGAGATCTGGGTGGCGCAGGGCAGATCTTCCCCCCATATTTGGCTAAAGGTTACCCATTTGGCTGGGGGGGGGCTCTGTTTCTTTACATAGGTGTTGTTAGATGCCCAGGGTTCTGTTGCACAAGACAGGTGGCCATGTCAACCTTTGGGACAAATCGTGAAATAAATGCACGTGCTTCTTCGTTATTCTTCTGTCCCTCCTTCCGTCCAGGAGCTTCCAACCCTGGCAGGTGGGTCGCAGAGGGGGATTGCCAGGGCCAGTCCCCCGTGCTTGAGGACGGACGTGAGCCTGGGTTTCCCCGATTGTGCACCGACACCTTATCTGGGTGCCCGCTTGCTCGGGATCTGCAATCCCACCAGCCCGTGACAGGGCCTTCTTAGGGGTGGCACTCTCCGATCTGCAGTGCTTCCCAAGGCAGGCCCGCCTGTCTCCCAAGCAGTGTTGTCCCCCTCCCTCCCGGCCTGCCTCCTTGGGACCTGGCTGGGGTTTCTGCTGACCAGTTTTCCGTGCTGACGGGCCTGCAAGTTTCAAGAGTTTATTGCAAGAGGAGAGAGCCTCTGTAGCTCCGGGTCGCGTTGCGGAGTCCTTGCTGTTCTCTGAGCTTGGCGGTTCGCTTGCAGACATTTCCTTGCCCGACTAGGGGACGTCATCCATGTTTATTTCTGCAGAACGTGTCCACAGACCTTTCGCCCTGCAAGCTTGTTTGTTTTGGTGGTCTTTCCGTTGTCGTTCTCTGCCGCCTTTTACAAATCTTGCCATCTTTTGTTGCTTTGCTGGTTCGTTTTGAGACGATCCCTTAGATCTGCCTTGTTCTGCTTTTTCTATGGTTTTGCATTTTGGTGGAAAACTTACACTGAAGGCAGGATTTCACAAAGGGGGGGAAAACCCCAGAACCCTTATTCTGGAGTTGTTGCTTTGTTTCACTTTTTGCTTTTGGGCCAAACGATATTTTGGGTGAACGTTCAAGGTGGCATCTAAGGAGATCTGGGCTTACTGAGGGGGGCGCTCAGGTTGCCCCTTCAAAGTGGCCCTGGGGGTGGCTCACTTCCTCTCCCCACTTTCTGGTTCCTGGAGGGTTCCCCCCTTCCAAGCCCTTGGCTGTCTTGCTGTCAGTAATCTCTGTTTGAGCTCTGAAGCTGGGCTGCAGTCCAGCTGGGCTGAGCTGGCTCTGCTGGACAGGGCCCCGTGCCGGCCTTGTGACCGGGCAGTCGCATCTCCCCCCCATCACATCTCCTCCTACTGCCTGGCAGACCCACAGGCAAGACGTGGGGCCAACCAGGCTTGCACCGGTCCTGCAAGCAAGGGAGGGTGGGTGTGCCAAGGCGGGCACCAGTGTGGGAAGGGTGAGGACACGCGCCCATCCCTCTCGAGCCGTTGGTCATCCTGTCCAGCCAAGGGCTAATTGGGAATAGCAGATTCTTGCTTTCCTTGCCTCTTCTGACCACAAGCTGCCTCGGAAAATTTCCAGGAAAGTGGGCAGTCCCTCGGTCATCCCCCTGGTGCCCCAGGGACTCGGCCAGGGATTTCGTTCAAAGTCCTTCCAGCTGCGCCCCTCTGGGGTCAGGCTTGGTTCTGCTGATAGCTTGGGCCTTCTTTGAGGGGGAAGTGGGGAACTAGAAGGAAAAGAGATTAAGCCATGGTTCGCTTAACTTGGGTTTATTGGCTAAACCATCATTGACTGCGTTTGTCTGCATCAGTGTCTCTCAACCTTGGCGACTTTCAGAGGGGTGGACTTCAACTCCCAGAACCCCAGGACAGGACTGTCGGGCAGACACAATGGCGAGGA